TCTCTTTTTTACACTGTCAAAATTGGAACACACATGCTTTAATACAAGATTTGAAACAAAACTCTCGAACCATTTATACAGAAAATATCAGATTTTTTGGTGTTTACAAAATGTTACAAAGTTTTTTTTTACATAAACATGCTTATGAACTCACTAACATTATATATGTTGACATTTTCAAAATAACTTGTATTCTCGGGGATACGTTAACAGGTCGGTTGTCATGAAAAATGTGGACTTTTGCTGTATTTTTGTTTCGTCATACATCTAATATTTTGGAATGTAATTTGTGAACAAATACAATGATGTAAACTCTGTATGTTGTATTATTGAATGTATGGTGATGATGTTGCCTTTGAATTCATTTATATACACTGTGATGATATTACAAGATGAAGTCACCCACCCCCGAACGTTTCGACCGTCTGGTTCGGGGGTGTAACATACACACACACTTTTCTTTCTCTCTCTCCCCCTCTTTCTTTCTCCCTCTCTCTCTCTCTCAATTGAAAAATATATTTAATATTCACAATGTTAAGTTATGAATTTAGATATTTTCAGTTTTTTTTTTTTCGATAAAGAATAAGCTCTAGAACTTGAAAAAAAAAATTTGGTTTCTTGGAGTACCAATAATTATGGTTCTCTATTGAATTTTTCATATATATATATATATATATATATATATATATATATATATATATATATATATATATATATATATATATATATATATATATATATATATATGGATTAGGTGGAAAACAAAAAAAAAAACCTTAAAAATCATAAAAATACATAAAAAAAAATACTTAAAGATCACAAAAAAAAAATTTACTTTATATTCTTAAAAATCGCAACTTTTTTTTATTGATTTGCTGAAAAATTTTAAAAAATCGATTTTTTATTTTATTTATTTTTTGTTTTTTTTTTTTTTAAATTCAACGAAATTATATAAAAAGTTGCAATTTCTAAGAATATAAAATCAAAAAAAAAAAAAAAAAACATTTTTAAAATGCAAAATAATTGAAAACTTTCGACAAAAAAAATTCAAATATTATTTCGGAATTTTTATTTTCCAAAAAAAAATATCAAAAAAATACATTGTTTACATAAAAAAGTAGAATAAATAGAATATTTTACATATCTGAGAAATCTAGTATACTATTCTAACATTCTAAAAATCACATTATAATATTTATAGTATAATATTCTATTAAAATATTTCACGTATTTTAAAAAGAAAAAAGTAATTTTTTTAGGTAATTAAAGTTCTGAAAATAATAATTAAAAAAAAAAAGAATTTTTGGATTTTTCTTTTTATTTTTCATTTTAATATTATTTTTAGATTTGGTTTCACGGTCTCACAAAATTAGCATAGTCTCAAATAAACCTGAATATATATATATATATATATATATATATATATATATATATATATATATATATATATATATATATATATATATATATATATATATATATATATATATATATATATATATATATATATATATATAGAAAAGTTGTTATTTTCTACAATTTTTCCTTTTATTAACGCAACTTCCAACAATTAAATAATAATATTTAGTTAATAATCAAACGTTTTAAAGCCCGTGCAACAATTATATATCCAATCAAGTTTATACATGCATTTCGAGTGATCTTGGTATAACTAGCTAGTTCCTAAATAAAATTATGAGACGAGAGAGTCATATCCTACAAAGTAAGGGTTCAAATCATTTTCATGTGATGGTGAAATATATGATGTTTGATTGATAGGATTCCTTTATTGACAATTTACACCCTTGAAAAAGGCATAAGTACCCTTTCACCCCAGTCGCATTTGAGATCAATCCAAACCCAACTTGATACTTCTTCAGTCCTTCATCCTTGTGCAATAGATTGTGGATTTAAAAAGATAATCACAATAGACCAAAATGGATAGGGTCGTTTTGTTCTATGCATAAAATAATCATCAAAATTATACTAGGCCTCATTATGAATTCCATAACTACGTATTCTTTGAATGATCCCTGCAACAAAAATAAATAACAAAAAAATAGAAGTTAACAGTCATATATTGCGAAATATATAATTGTTTCTTTGGTGAAAACGTGAAGGTTTTTTATGGTCAAAAACAAGTTTGCAATCCACAGCGAGACCATCGCACCAACGTTGTCAAGATCAGCAACTTACGTATGATTGTTTTACGTTTTGCGAGATCGTAAACATAAGATGGAATTAGCATCGGAAGATCTTATTAAAATGAACAAGACTCCTAATTTGCTCATGATATCTTGTTTGTTTGGTATTGTCATTTGATATTGATTAAGAAATCGATAGTGGAATCAATTTTAAATTCGTGACAATAAACATAGGTTCCGCATGACCATGATGCTCTATCTAATTCGAGATAAATGTATGAAGTCGTGATGCTCCACGAGTCTTCCTATCTACAATGTTTGATTTCAAGTTGAATTGACGTATTTCTTTAGGCTCAATGAATATTTTTATGCCAAGCATATGGGATTTCTACGCAAAATGACGAATTCTCTAGGGTTTAGAAGACTAAAAACTTGACTATAGAATAAAAACTAAAGAGGTGTGATAAGATTCCAGTGTCAACCCTTCTTCATAATCGATCCTAGTATGATCGGGTTCAATGAATATTTTTAGGTTCAATGAATACTTTTAGGCCATGTATATGTGATTTCTTAGCAAAATGACGAATTTCCTAGGGTTTAGAAGACTAAAAATTTGACTATAGAATAAAGAGTAAAGAGGTGGGATAAGATTGGGGTAAGATAAGATTTCAATGTCTATCCTTCTTCATAATCAATCCTAGTATCATTCTAGTATGATTGGGATCATTTTTCGCTTATAAAATCTTAATATCTTAAGATCAAGATTGAGGCCTCGTTTGTTTTTCTATAAAAGTACTTTTTGAGCACTTTTTCCTTCTGGCGGGTAGACGTTTCGCAAGTGCACGTCTTCTTCCGCAAACTTGAAAAAAGATAAAAGATATTTAACCACTTCCAAAACAAACAGAAACACTGACAACCATGCTTTACAGATTCAGTCATTTTTGTGTGAAGTACCAAAAAGGAATTGGTCATTTTTGTAATTATCCCTAGTAAAAACCTTACGAGTAGAGTTTAGGTTACTTTAGATGTTATTGGGCCAGCCTGTTATTTTACAAACGGATATTAATCAGTGAGTACTACTATTAAGTAGCAGCCCCTCAAGATCTAGTGGGCTGGGACCATACGTCTCATGGGAATATACTATTATTGACTGTATTATATTTTTCCATCATGGTTTCAAAGAAAAAAAAAAAAAAAGACCAAAATTGATTGTATAATAACTTTCATCGTTATTGAAAAATATACACGGACACTAGCAAGCGCGTTTACGTGTAACGTATTTCGTCTTGAAACAGCATTATGATTCATTTGAAATTTATCACGACACGTATAAATATAATTGTTCGTATGGGGAAAGAATACAGATGTATATATAGTGGTTGCCCGACTCGAATGGCTAAGCCACATAGGATGAAATCTCACATCCAATGTCGACACACAAACAGACGTAAACGTTTCCTCGCAAGTGGGCCCCGTGTCGTATGTTTGGTTCTATTTTCATTAGTAGGCAAGAGTTAGTAGCTTCTTTGTTTCCAATAATAGAATGAGTTATTATCTAAATTTGAAAAAAGAGTTTTGAAATGGGCACATGACACAGCAGAAGAATACACACAAACACAGATTACACAGAACCTCTTGTAATAATATATATCAGACACTTGTGGTCATGTCCCTGACAAATATTCCTTCCATTTGTAGATATTGAGTTTAGAAAGTTGGACTGGAATAATACCCTACATAAATAAATAAATAAATAAATATATATATATATATATATATATATATATATATATATATATATATATATATATATATATATATATATATATATATATATATATATATATGTGCATAATTCAGGGCCAGGTATTACATCAATTGCTGCTCAGAACTAGGAAAACAGTCACTTATCATCATATCATATCAAATCATGACATTTGGTTTTGCTTTTGAACTCTTATGCATTAAGCTTTTAATTTTCAAGTGCATTCACGTATTATTATAATGACTTATCATCATATCATATCATGACATTTGGTTTTTTACTTAATGAACTTAATCTAGAGACCACTTAATCCAAACAGCTATACAGTAGTAGTGTTTCTTTTTCACGTAATACATACAAACACATCTTAATATACCATGTGAGGGAGTGATCGACATACCCCCTTTTTACCACTCTATCCCTTTTAATTAAACCCTTCTTTTTTTAAAAGTAAAAATTATATGTGTGTGCTTCCTGTATCCTCTTCACAGATATGTCATTACAGTACATGTAGCCAAATCTCATTTCAAAACTGAATCCAATTTGTATCATTAGTTTTGTTTCTCATATTGGACCTAGGATATTGTTCAATAGTAGCAATATGGTTGTTTAACTATGAATAAACATTCGGTCATCTAAAAAATAAGAAATACCGATAAATAATTTTTCCTTATTCATCCTTTTGTTTGCATTATATTCTCAAACTCAGAGAGGTTTTCAACAAGTAATCTTTTATTCTTTGTTGTTCTTTTACAAAATACTTGATCCACAAACGATAACCACTCTGCTCTATGTGGACTCAACCCTGCTTATTCGAATGAATCATTTGTTTAACATATTTTCCAACTTCTTCATAGCCCATATGGTGTTCGTGCTATCGATGTTGATCGTTAGGCTATTTCCTAGTTTCTCTATTTAGTTAGTGACAAAATGTAATCTAACAAAAAAAAAAAAAAAACATCAATTTGCACCAAAATCAAAAAATATTTTTGGACAATACCACACTCAAAACAATTGTTTAATTAATAAAAAAATGTACTTTAAATATGCTTCTAAAACATGTTTTTGAAAAACAACATATATTTAGAAAATGTAAGTCATAATCATATTTCATTCATAAAAGGTGTTAAACATATATTTGACCACAAAACAAAGGCAAACGTTTACAATTATTGTCTTACAAGTCATGAACAGAACAGCCTTGAAAACAGGTAGCTGTGGCACCCCTGCACTGTATCAAGCAACGGACTCGTTTGACACGCTTCATCCACTTCCCGGTTCTTCCACTTCATCAAAACTTCCTCGGCAACCACCGCGACCTGGTGTTGCAACACGGCGGCACCAAGCGGCCCCACCAGGTTCAGCCTGGTTGCCGCCGATATAACATCTCTCATCGTCACAAACAAATACGCCCTCTGAGCCGTTTCCCCATCCAACCCAATCAACCCACAAACCACCCCAAAAACCGGGGCATGGTGGAACCACACATTCCGACTGCTTAACCCCACGTTTCTCATCATCTTCAGAGCCGGAATCTCAGTGAAAACCGAAGCCGATACCCTCATCAATGCTGACCCCTGTGAAACCGATGCCTTTCGGCTCACTTCGTTTGTTAGTGTTGCGTCTAAAATGGCGTCGAGATGTTGCCACGTGTCAACATCTGGCGATATTGTGGCGGAGTAGACGAAAGGAAGGAGGAGACTTGCGGTGTTCTCGAGGACGTGGATTACGTGTGTTTGGAGGTCTTCGGGGTGGGAGACTATGCGTGATTGCATTCCGGCCTCGAGACCAAAGGAATGGGCGAATCCTCCAGTCGGGAGAATGGAATCGAGTAACTGCCATTTGCTCCATTGGAGAAGAGGATCTGATGGAGGTCGAGTGGTCCCATCATTTCTGTCTACTTTATTATCGTTCATCACGATATATAAATCGAGAGTCTGGATAAATGATGTTGAAAAATAGTGCGTTAAATGCAAGATATAGCAATGTACTTTCATTAATTTGTTTATTATAGCGTCATACTTTCATTTGTTCCTACTTAGGTGAAAAAACTACAGGGATATTGCAAAGTGATCCAAATACAAAGAAAATTTTCACCATTAGAAATGGATAGATCTTTTAAAGTAAAATGTATTTGTGAGAAATATATATATATATATATATATATATATATATATATATATATATATATATATATATATATATATATTAAAAGTACAATGCTAGAATTGGGACATTTTAAAATGACAATATCTTAATAAGAGAATAAAATTAAAAGTACAATGTTGGAATAGACTTTAGATGAAAGTATGGTGTTACCATAAACAAATATATGAAAGCTCGTTGCTATTTCTTGCATTTAGCACAAATGACAAAACAATGCATCATGGAGTATAAATTAGAAAGAACTCAAACCTACATTACAAAGTTAGAGTTCTATTCTACTGGTAAATCTTCTTCTTAAAACATTAGATAGGAATCATTTGGCAAATAAGAACCCATAAACACATATTTGATTAAAAGAACACACACAATAAAGAAAATTCCATCTAAGCCAAGAGTCAGAAACTGACTGATGAACCGAGGTTCAGAGAGATTGGTTGATCTATGCTTAATTCACTGACTAGCTAAAGTTAAAGGGGAATTACCAACATGTTTGGTGTTTTTTCCGTGCCATTTGTTGGTTTTCTCCGCTTCTTGCCCAAATTAGTCAATCATAATTCCAAAAAAAAAAAAAAAAAAACTAATTCCCGGCTACATCAATGTGAATCAATCAGACAAACAAATTACGCATTCAATCAAACAGTAATGATTAGATCCATATATCCTTAAAATGTCTAACTTCTAGGTAATCAGATTTAAATTCTCAAAACAGCAGTTAAAAGACAAAACAACATACAGAAAGGATGGAGAGAGATAAAGACTTGGAAATTGTTTGAACGGAGAAGGATTGGCCTTACCGGAATCCTCTGGCGACTGCAGTGAACGATGGCGGGATGCCGGCGAGAAGGAAAGCCGATTAAAAAGTTCAGGGAACAGAGGCGGCGTGACGGGTGGAAGAGGACAAGAGTGAATGGAAATTATAAGTGTTTTGTTTGGTTGTGAAATTTTTTTTAGTTTTTTATGAAAACTAGGACCTGTAATCAAAGGTGGATTACGCAAAAGGAACGATAAAATAGCTGTCGCTAATTTAGCTGACACGGAATGAATGCAATTTTTTTTATGGCAGAATTTCATATATGTCCTTATTAAACTTTAAAATATCATATTTACCCAATTTAATTTATCAATATTATATTTACCTTTCATAAACCTTCAAAATATCATATTTACCAAATCCTTTTTTATAATGTTTTTAATATTTTATAATGATTTTTTATACCTTAGAACTATTATAATAATTATGAAATTTAACCATATTATCCTGACGTCTATGATAATGGAATCTGAACTTCTAAATTGTTGGAATGTCGATCTCTTGACAGACAAAAAGATTCATCTTTAACCCTTTCTATGAAATGTATATTTTGATTGTTTAGTTTTTGTTGTTGTTGATTGTTATTATGTTCTAGATGGAGGATATTTTAGATATTAATATTGATATTTTGATATTTAAAAAGTGCATATACGATATTTTGATATTTAAGAAGGACATATATAATATTTTGATGTTTAAAAAGGACATATATGATATTTTCAAATTTTATGAAGGGTAAATATGATATTTAGAAATTTTATGAAGGGTAAATATGATATTTAGAAATTAAGTTGGGTAAATATGATATTTTGGTGTTTAAGAAGGGCATATATGAAATTCTCCCTTTTTTTATTTAGGGTTCCTGGTTTGGGTTGTTTAAGGGGTCGTTTGATAATTGTTAACCGGGTTAGATTTGATTGGGTTAGAAGCTGACTGGATTAGAAGTTCTGATTCAATCCATATCTGATTAAGTTTATGTTGTTTGATTATTTCTTTTACAAACTATATTGAATGACAAAAAATGACCATATTACCCTTATGATGTCTCTTGTGTTGGTTAAAATAATTATAAAAATACAAAATCTTACATTAAATATAAATTAAACATACATTATTTAAAATTAAACATCTTAAACGTCATTTGATAAAAAGAGAATATAAGGAACCGATGGATCAAAGCAAAGTTATAGACATAAAAAAATATATTTGTCAATGAACAAATTATTGTGATTGAAATTTTATCCAACAAGAAATGAATGTATAAACTATAAAATTATAATCAAATTTCAAGATTTATAAAAAATGGATTTTCTGAATACACTGTGAATTATAATGAAAATCTCAAATCATAAGACCCTTGAAGTACTTTGTTCTCTAATAACCTGCCTTCCCAAAACTGCTTTCATCACCATTTTTATCATTCATTCCGAGATCAAAATCTTTGTAGTTCACATATGTTTGTCTTGAAAACATCACTTCTTTTTAATGGTTCATATAGGTGCTTAAATACTGAACCTTGAAAATAACATATCTATGAGAAAAGAGGATTGATGATTCTGAAATCCTTCCCATCATTAAGCAACAATTCAAAGAGCACAACAACAGCAACCAAAAAAATCAGAGAAAAAATTCAAATGGAAATCACAGCAACAAATTGCAATATCACAACAAAAATTCGAAGTTAATCGATTCAAAGAGCACAGCAACCAAAGAAATCAAAGGAAAAATTCAAATGGAAATCACAGCAACAAATTGCAATATCACAGTAAAAATTCGAAGTTAATCAATTCAAAGAGCACAACAACAGCAACCAAAGAAATCATAGGAAAATTTTAAATGGAAATCACAGCAATAAATTTATATCACAGCAAAAACACGAAGTTAATCGGTAATTTGTAGAAATCGAGAGCATAAAAGTCTGAAGCACACCTAGTCAGAAGAAGTTGGTCTCTGGTTCCAAGGTCAAAGGAAAACGACGGATTCCAAGCATAGGGTGGTCGCCGGTAGCAGGGGAGCAAGGTCGCTTTCTTTCTTTCTGTAAGGCATCTTTTAGATTAGTAGGGCAAAAGTGGAACTAAAGGCATTTTGTCCCAGTCCTTCTAATTTGAAGCTTGGACCGAATCACTCAATTTTGATGGACCGAGTCCACATTTTAGACTGAGTCCTTCACTCTAAAATTCAAATCAAACATGCTAAATTATGTTTTTTTGGACCCGGTCCCTCTTTGGACCCAATTAGAAGCTAAATCAAACGACCCTTAAGTGTGTATTCTAATTCTAAGTGACAATACAATAAGAGTAAATGACTATTTTAGCCTTCTCATCATATTCATATGAGAAGTTTTGCATGTTTAGAATTGACAAAGGAATTAGAAAAGTTTATGTGATAACGTTACAACATTTTTGTAAGAGAACGTGAGGCTTTGAGGGCATTTTGGTCATCTTCATTCCCAGGACAAGAGTTGCATGGTCTGATATCATATTATTAACTATTTTTGATGGATCTTAAATGCCCTCACACACCACCAACAATAAAGAAATAATGAAATATCTACCTATTTCTTATTTGACTTGGCGAGGCGATCCTAACAATCATTTTGTTAAGTGAATGCCCCTTCCTCCATGGATTTTGTTCCTTTGATTTCTGCCTCATCTTTCTTCTTTGTCGTAGCTTCTGCAAATACACATCCAATCCAATGTGAAATATGTTTGCTGACCTTGAACTAATATGGTACACGGCCTTTATTGATTGAGTCATCGACCTTTGCACCCAGAAATCGAAATACTAAGTTCTTGATCAAGAAGGCATCAGAAACGTCAAGCCCAGAAATCGAAATCCTAAATTCTTGATTGAGAAGGCTTTGGAAATGTCAATCTTATAGAGTCAGAAATGTAGAAAGAGAGAAAAATCAAAATAAAAAATAAGGCTTTGGAAATGTTAATCTTATAGAGTCAGAAAGGTAGAAAGAGGGCAAAATCAAAATAAAAAATGGGACAGAAATCAAAATCAATTACAAGAGCACATATGTTTATTGACGGTTAGAGGCGGAAATATTGTTGACGACGGAAATCGAAATACTAAGGTTGCGTTTAGTTACGAAAAAACAGTTTTCATTTCCCGTTTTTTGTTTTCCCTTTTCAGTTTTCGTTTTCCGTTTTCAGTTTTTATTGAAAAATTTAGAAAACGTGTTTAGCTAAAACTTATTCATTTTTAATTTTCAGTTTTAGAAAATTAGAAAACGTGTTTAGATGTGTATTTTTCTATCGATTTTCATTTGTAGAAAACGGTAACGGTAGGGGTGGGGTGGTGGCGGTAGCGGGTCGGCGGCGGTGGTGGTGATGACAAGCGGTGGTGGTGGGGGCAATTGTGGAGGTGGTGGTGATGGTAGGTTGGTGATTGTTGTAATGGTGTTGGGTATGTGGGTGTATCTGTATGTGTGTGTTTGTGGGTGTGGGTGTTTGTGGAGGTGGGTGTGTGTGTATAGGTGTGGGGGTGTTTGTGGGAGTAGGGGTAGGGGTGAGGATGGGGATGGGTGTGTGTGTGTGTGCGTGTGTATAGGTGTGGGGGTGTTTGTGGGAGTAGGGGTAGGGGTGAGGATAAGGATGGGTGTGTGTGTGCGTGTGTATAGGTGTGAGGGTGTTTGTGGGAGTAGGGGTAAGGGTGGGGATGAGGTCAACAAATAGGTCCGTGTTCTGTGGGTTCAGAGTTGCCGATAAAGATTCTTTTTAAACATTCAAAAGCAAATCATCCTAAAGCTGTTATTACCGCCCAAAAAACGTTTCAATATAAAATATTTTTTTTATTATCTGAGGGAAGGGTCTCGAATTACGATATTTGGGTCCCCTAGTTATGACAGCTGATTCTATGCTTCCGGTAACAATCCGGTTGCTTCGGTATTTTTCATTTCATGGAGCAATTGTATGTAAAGAGTGTCATCATCTCGTACACTTTTTTTTTTTTTTTTTTTTTTAATGAAATTTGAAAATAAGAAAATTTGAAAATAAGAAAATGCATGTATGAGAATGAGTGAACCTCATGTATGAGAATGAGTGAACCTAAAATACAAGTCTACCCCTCCCCAAGCTTAAAGATAAGCATCGTCCCCGATGCTTGGAGAGGGTGGAACAACCTAAAACGGAGGTGGAGGAGGAGGATAGTAGCTGGGGTTTCGGGTCCAAGCCCAGAAGTCCTCCTCATGTTTGCGTTGACGCTCTTGATCCCGAGCGTACTGGGTGGTGAAGGTGGAAAAATTCTGGGTCAGGCTGGTAATATCCTGCTGATAGGTGTCGAGGCGGGTATGGATTGATTGGAATTCGTCCATATATTGTTGATGATAAGGCGGGGGTGCAGCAAAATGGGATGAGCTGCCACCACCGGTGGGAGAAGCATGGTGAGGCTCCTCCTCTTCTTCATCATCATCACCTTCTTCCTCGTTTTCTTGCTTTGCTCATCGACCTCGGTGGAATAAGAGTGGGGGAAGATGTATGGAATGATTTGCCAATCAGTCATATGAATGGGATTTCGGAAATCAAGAATGCCTTTATTTTCTGGTGTGATGAGGAGCTTGGGATCATGATTTTGACCCACGGTCCAGTGGTGTGTACCATCGCCTGCCGAGCGGAAGAGTCGCATGGACTCAAGGATAGCGGTGGTGAGATAAGGCTCACCCGGCAGTGGCTGGTGGGGACCGGGGTATGGGGCTCGGATGTGGGCGCTCTTGGCGAGCATGCTGACAATACCCCGCAAACAATCTTTCCTGATCGGGATGCGCTAAGGCGGATGAGCTTGTGGCACAGAAACCGAACATAATGAGGAATGAAGTTATTCTCGGGATGGGTCATTGCATAAAGGATTTTAAGTTCCAGTGCGTGAATGGTGCTTCGCTCCTCTCTAGGGGTGACGAGCGAAGCAATGATTCTGTGAGCTACCTTAATCACAGGATGGATAAGTGATGAGGCTTTAGCAGCGCTAGAGACATATGGATGTAATTGGGTGAGCTGGGTCCACTAAGTCATGTCATAGTATCCTTGGATTGGATCAGTGGGGCCAAATGTGTTTTCCGTTGGGGCCCCCACAATGGCATTGATTGGATCCGAGGAGATCTCATAGTCTTGATTCATTAGACGGAAGTAGAGGATCCCATGATCTAAATAAACTGAGGATAGAAACTCAGCAGTTGGGACTTTATATCTCAATTCATGGACCCTCAACAAGCCGTGCCACCCTATGTTGCGAAACAGGGTTTTGACTTGATTGTAAACATGCAACTCTTTCAAAGTTGGAACATGCGCGAATTTTTGGATGGCATGACCTCGTTTAAGGAATGACTCAAGTTTGCCCTGTTGAACTGGGCCAAGACATACGACACCAAAATGAGACGGGTCGGCTGGGGGTGTTGGGGACCTAGATGGAGGTGAGGAGATCTGGATGGAGGTGATGGAGATCTAGGCTTCCGACGGCGGGCGGATGATTTGGTTTGTCTTGGTCTTTTGGAAGATGTAGCTTCCATACTCAAGTTTGGGACAGATTAAAAGTCAACGGGTCAAAATGTCAAAAAGTCAACTGTTGACGGTCCAGTCAATTTGAACTTGGCCACCAAAATTTCGCGGGAAATTTGGTTTTCAAAGATTTCCAACTAAGAATCAAGTCCAAATAGACCACACTTTCAAGTATTTGACTCAAGAACACAAAATTCAAAGGTTAGGAGTTGGAAAGAATTTACCGAATCGTGTGTTGAATCGTGTTGTTCTTGATGGAAAAGATCTTCTTTAACCTCCCCAAGCTTGCCCCTTTCAAGATTGAGACACTAAAACACCAAAATCAAGTGAGAATTTTCGAATCTAGGGTTTGTCAAAACCCCCAAATCCACCATTAAAATGCAAGAAAATGGTGTTTAAGATGGAGAAGATGAAGTGTAGATGATGAAAATCAAACCTTTTTATAGATGAAAGTCAAAATCTTGAAGAAATTGAAAGGTATTTGATGAAAATCGGACCTAAGGTTTTTGTTGGGAGAGAGGGGCTGTTAGGAAGTGAAAGTGGGGATAAATGAGGTCAAGTCCCGATTTTTTTCTTTAAAAAGGGTCTGAACTGCTGCGCGAACACGACCCGTGTCTCCCCAGGCTAAATTGGGCACGCCCCGTGTTGGGGGGGTTTATGCTGCGTTATGTACGAACACGACCCGTGTTGGGTCAAGGCCAAAAACAACACGACCCGTGTTGCTCTCTGGAAAAATTTGGGACTTTTTTGGACGAACACGACCCGTGTCATTTGCAGGCCAAAATGGGACACGACCTGTGTTGGTCTCTGTAAGAATTTGAGACTTTTTTTGCATGAACACGGCCCGTGTTTCATTAAGGCTAAGAGGGACACGACCCGTGTTGGTCCCTGGATGCTAATCCTCACTTTTTGAACTTGAAAATTTCCTCTCTTAGATATGAAATACTTTTGCATTCTTAGGTCTGTTTGGTGATTTTAAATCATGATTGAATGCATTTGGAACATTGAAAACCAAAAACTCAAAGAAATGGAAATTGTTTTTAAGTAAAAGACAGAAATACCCCCGGGTTGTCTCCCGGTTAGCCGCCCTTGTTTCAAGTCGTTGGCTCGACTTTGCCCCCACAAATGCTTCGTTCTAAGTATTTGGGCCTCTCCAACACATCAATCTTCTTGCCACCTCCTTCAACGGAACCTTCAACCTTCCTTTGGCTTTCTTTTTGCGCATAAACCAAAAAGGACTTAACCCTTTTATATCAGAGATTGTCCACACCATCCTTTTTTGGTATTTGTTCAGCATGGTTATCAACTCACTCTCTTCCTTCTTTGATAATTTATTTGAGTTGATGACCGGTTGAGTGCTCTCCTTCTCGACATGTATTTGCTTTATAGGGCCCAGTGGAGTTTTTGCTCTCAAATCTTGTGCTTGTTCCACCGGTGGAAGGAATTTGGCTTTAGTGGTGGGTGACTCTACTTCTCTTCCATCAATCCACACGTGCTTATCATCCTTGAATTTCAAAATCTCCAGCACCTCCTCGTTTGTACCGCACTCCTTTGCAAGTTCTTCGGCTTTGTACCTGTCTAATTTTTGTGACAAGACTAACTCCACAAAATCATTGTTAGTCGAGTTTAAGCTCTTTTCAGCCAATGGTTGGATCATATTCACAAAATTAACAGATTGAACATCAGAAGGAACCTTTTTTTCTTCATGAACATTGAATTTGATAACTTCACCGTCAAATTCCATACTTAAAGTTCCATTGTAGACATCAATTTTTGTTTTAGAAGTTTTAAGAAAAGGTCTACCCAAAAGTATGGAACTTGAACTTGGAGAGTCATCATCTCCCATATCTAAGACATAAAAATCAGCCGGGAAGATAAATTCATCGACTTGCACTAACACATCCTCTAGTACACCCTTTGGGTGTACCAAAGACCGGTCGGCAAGTTGGATGATCACACCGGTTTTGCTCAATGTTCCTACACCAATTGATTTGAAGAGAGAATATGGTAGGACATTTACGGATGCACCTAGATCGAGCATGGCTCGAGGTACATGAAGATTCCCCAATTTGCAAGGTATGGTAAATACACCGGGATCCTTACACTTAGGGGGCATCCTCTTTTGCAAAACCGCGGATACATGCTCCCCAACTGTTACCACTTGATTTCCTTTTAATTTCTTTTTAGATACACAAAGATCCTTAAGGAACCTTGCATATCTAGGTACCTGCTTGATGGCCTCGAGGAGTGGAATGTTGATTTGAACTCTCTTGAACATTTGCATGATCTCACTCTCCTCCGTTCTTTCTTCGTGCTCCTTAATCTTTCGGGAAATGGAGCAGGTGTGGCTTTAGACTCAGTGATGAAAGGCTTCTTTTTTACTGTTTTCTCTTCCTTCTTCTCTTCTTTGGTTGCTTCTTTGACCACTATTTCTTCTTTCTTTTGATCAACCGGCACTTTTGGACCATCATAGCTCTTTCCGCCTCTCAATGTGATGGCACACACATTGTGCCTTGGGTTTGTTTCAGTTTGTGCAGGTAACTTTCCTTGAGATTCTAATTTGCTTACAGAAGTGGCAAGTTGTGAAACTTGTTTCTCTAAGTTCGTTATGCTTGCTTTTGTCTCTTGTTGGAAAGCTTGTGTACTAGTTGCCAAACTCTTTACTATGTCCTCTAAGGACATACTTGATGAACCCGATTGTTGAGGAGGGTGTTGTGGCTGCCTTGGCTGGAAGTTTTGTGGTGGAAAAGGTGGTCTTTGCTGGTATTGATGTGGTTGACTTGGTTGATTATTTGTCTGTTGATGTCCTCCCCAACCTTGATTGTTACTCCATCTTTGATCACCCCGTGGCTGCTCATATCCCCTTTGATTAGACCCAAGAAAACCTCCCATGACTTTTGCTTCTTCATAATCTTCCTCTTGGAGTTGTGGGCACATATCAGTTGGATGCCCCACTTGGGTGCAAATACCGCACGGGCGGGGTGTGGACTGCACACCTTTTTCTTTGGCTAACATCATGACTACTTTCGTGAGCTCGGACAATTGAGCTTCAATCTGAGGAGTTTGTACTTCTTTTACACCCCGGGGTGCATCCGTGTACCATTCTTCATCATGGCTTGAATGTTTGGAATCTTCAGCCATGTTCTTGATTAGATTTCGGATCTCAGTTGGGGTTTTATCGGGCAAAGATCCACCACTAGAGGCGTTAAGAAGCCTTCTTTCCATTGGAGTCATTCCTTCAATGAAATATTGAAGGAGCTGGTACTCAGTGATCCCGTGCTTTGGACAACGAGCACAAAGTTTCTTGAATCTTTCCCAATATGCGTGAAAAGCTTCTCTCTTGTGCTGCTTGATTCCAATGATTTCCCTCCGTAGGGCGAAAGTTTTCATCTCGGGAAAGTACTTATCCAAAAACAACCTTGCAAGATCTACCCAAGTAGTTACCGTCCCCGGTGGGAGGTCATAAAGCCAGTCTTTGGCTGCATCTTGCACCGCAAAGGGGAATGCCCTAAGCTTAATCTGATCCTCCGTGACATTGTGTGGTTTCATACCCACACATACTACATGGAACTCGGTGAGGAACTTGTGAGGATCTTCGTTCTCCAATCCTCTAAAAGTTGGGAGTAAGTGAATAAGCCCGGATTTTAGTTCAAGGTTTGTGGCAGCTGGATACGTGATACAAAGAGGTTGTTGAGTAACCTCTTGTCTTGACCATTGGCGGAGGGTTTGTTCGGGTGGTGGGTTTGGAGGTGGATTTCCTCCAGGGATGTCTGCCATGGCTTGAGAAGTGGGTGATGTTTCTGTAGGCGAAGTGTTTAGGATATTATGAACAGGTGAAGAAGGTGAAGTGGTATTGTTGGGTGAGGATGGTTGTGATGAGAGTGAGAGACTTTCTGTTTCTGATGTGGATACACTTGAGAGGGGTATGTCCTCCCAAATGTTGATGACCGGGGGAGTAGATGATGAAGAAGTCCCGGAACCCGGTTGCTTCTTACGAAGCTTGGCTTGCTTCCTTAGCTTCTTTGCAGTCTTCTCTATCTCCGAGTCAATTGGCAATGGCGTACCTGTACGAAAAGATCTTGGCATAAAACAATTAGTAACACCGTGTCCCCGGCAACGGCGCCAATTTGTTAGGTGTGTCAAACCCAACAAATAAAGGGGTACGATATACTCCAAAATCATCCCACTATATTGTACTAAAAGGTAGTACAAGGCAAGCAGGGTCGATCC